TTTGTTCTGTTAAGTGTTTTTTAAAATTTTGTAAAGAGTCACAAATTTTCATTATTTTTTAACAATATGGTAATCAATGAAAGAATTTATCATTATTTATATCCATCAAGTATATTTTTTTTCCTATTAGAATAGAAAGCTTTTTCACCAGTCTGTTTGTTTTCTAATTTTTAGTCAGTTAGTTTGCAGCTATTTTTTATTTTATTTTATTTAGGAAAATCAATATCTATTATTATCTGTTAAAATCTCTTATTTTATTTTAATGCAATACGACTCAATTGTACTAGATGAATAAATATCCAAAAAATCATAAGAAATATTAAATGTTTACATAAATATTTTTAGAATTTTTATTTGGATTTGAATTGCTTCGAAAATGTTAATGGCATTTTAGGCTACACGATAAAATGTATTGGGTCCCACAGCCCACTATAAGACAATGTCGACAAGTCTTCAAAATCAACTAGGCTTTGGTTCATTTCTCCATTGTCCATTAGCCACATCCATAGCACAAAGTAGAGGTGGGCGTTTCTTTAGAACCAAACCATATCTAACCGAAATGTAGCATCGTTTAAGAATTAAATCGTTCAAAATTTTTTTCGAACAATGATGTTTTAGAAAACATAATTTTTCGAAAGAATCGAATCGAATTTTTAAAAAAATCAAAAAATTAAATTTTTTAATAAAATCTAATATTTTCTTAACAAAAATCGAAACTGAACTAAACCGAATTGAATATAAAATAATAACCGGTCGATATATATTTGTATAGAACCGAATCGAATACCGAAACGCTGAACCCTAATATAAAGTATTGAATGCGGGAAAACCAGATTGTTTCAAACGAAGTTTTTTTTTTATATATATCAAAGAATTCCAAACCAATAGAATGATTTTCTCTTCCTTTTTTCCGGAAATATATATAAATTATAAAATGTCATTTCATTAGAAATGACAAAAGGTCATTAAATGGTAGATATATGGTTATGGCCCGCAGTGTGAACAAAGTCTTGTAGCTTTGATGTTAGTGAAAGCAAAATGTAATCAATTTCCTTTTTTTCTCTATTTTTTTTTTAAAAAACAAAAGAGTTTTTGAGGTATACGAGACACAATTAGGGTTGATTAACTAAATAAACTCTAAAGCGAATCTTGATTCTTTCAAAAAAATTAAAATTCAAACAAAATCGTCAATCCTTATAAATTGCACGTTCAAAAGTTGAAGAAATCCAAAATAAACAAACACCAAATGTGTTGAAGCTGAAAAAGGTTCGATGATGATTTATTAGAGATATAGATATAATCATATCATATTTCAATAATTCACATAAATATGTACTCTTTCGGTTCCATTTATAGGATTAGTTTTTGTTTTCTGATAGATTTAGGATTTCCATTTCAATTGTGTGTTTATATGTAGCTTCATTGGATATATAGAATCAACACAGATTATTCCGCAATATTTGTCACAATTGATTCTCAAATATTTTGAATATCTTAGAAGTAACTTAGTACCCTATAATGTTGGAGACACATCAATTAACCATCTTATAATGTTTATAAATATAATACTGTATATTCTTGATGAAAACCTAGATGACACCAACTTTTCAAATTACAAAAAGAAGAAAGACTGATTTTGTAATGTTCTAAAATCGCTACCGAACGTTGAAACTGATCTCACACATCAACACGAGATGTGTCAGTGTGTTTTGTCCCCATTCACACGTATACCGAGAAACATTTTCCATTAGATCACCCATCATTAGATTGTTTCAGAGTACGCACATTTAATTTTGAAGTTCTCCCGGGATAGATTGAAAAAGTATGTGTGCCTTGTTATTATAAATAATTCAATTAAATCTTTTAAGTTATCTTAGATCGTATCCCATACCTATACAGTCATCAAATCTCTCTCATTCTGATAGGTTCGATTCATTTCTTTATCCCTCTGGTCTACTGGTACTCGGGGAACCGCTCCTTATCCGTGTCATTTGCATCGGTGATCACTCTCTACCCTCATCATAACTCGAGATATAATAGATTTAATAATAACTTTTTCTATGGAAATATGTTTTTTTTTTCTAATTTCAATTTAGAAAAAAAAGTTGTAACATAAAATTTCTTAAAATATATAATTTTTTAGTTTTGTTTGGCGAGAACATGAAGACTTTGATTAAGAGTGTTACTAATGGCAACCCAATCGTCCGCAATCGCAGCGATTACAATTTCTAACGATTGCGAGCGATTGAAAAAGTGATTATTGTAATCGCAATCGCAATAAAATGTTAATATTATAATCGCAGCTACAATATTGCGTTATGGTAGCGTTTGGTAACGTTTTAGTTAAATGACCAAAATACCCCTAATATTAATTAATATATATACATATTGTATTATATATATAAACTTATGTATGCATATATATACAAAATATATATAAACACATACACATACAATACATATATATACATACACACATATATACATATATAAATACATATACATACGTCTGTACAAACATACATATATATATACAAACAAACATATATACAAACATACATCTATATACACGTACACATACATTTATATATATACACATACATATATACATACATATATATACACATATATATACATATATATACATACATATATACACACATAATACATATACATATATATAAACATATATATACACATGTATATACATATATATATACACATATATATATATAGATACACATATATATACATACATATACATATATTTTTATACATAAATATATACATATATAAATTATAAAAAATACTAATATAATTTTGTTTGGTATTATGTTTGATATTGTTTGGTTTTACCAATAAATATTTTTAAAATATTTTTAACATCAAAATTTTTGAAAATAAATTAAAGTGATAATAAAATTATATTTTAAATTTTATAATTAATTATTTATAAATTTAATAATTATTTAATATTAAATAATAATAACAATTAACTAAAAATATTTAAAAATAATTAATATTGTATATAATAAAATGATGTTTTTTTTGTAATTTAAACCAAATCACAATCGCAAACGTTGTCAACTAGTCGTTCTAAATCGCAGTCACTCGCAATCGCTACCAACAACAGTTTTTCTACTAATCAATATCAATTGCTTTGAATCGCCAACAAACGCATCGTAAACGCCCACAATCGTGACGATTGTGAGCAATCGTGACGATTGTGATTCCACCGGTCAACACCTAACTTGTTCAACGTGGTTAAAACATATCACGTAAACATCCCAGTAAATCTTCCCTCTCAAAACCACTAATTTTTTCGGCTTTTTCAGTACAATAAAAAATATTAAAACACATAAAATATTACTTTACCTTATTTTCATTTCTCTATTAATCACATCAATCAATATATATATATATATATATAATAAAAGATATTGTGAGAAATAATTGGAGAATAAGTCAAAATTAGTCAATTTAAGACCTCTCCTGTCTAAGACGATAGAATGGGAGTCCCTACAACTGACAAACAAGTCATAAATGATAGAGAGAGTAGAGCAGAGATGTGGCGATGAGTCGATGACCCGACACTTTCGATTTGGATATATAAATAAATAATATTTGTATATTTTCTAGTATATATCAGTGAAAATAATATGATTTTATACAACAGATTTGGATAATATTTGGTATTCGAAGAATGAAATTTAAAAGGGTAGGTATTTTTGGTCCGGTTAATAACTCGAATATACATTTATCTCTTTCTCAAAACAAATTGATGTCTACTTCAAATTAATCCATAAAATACCAAAATAAAACATAATAAAAAATGTTCTAAAACACTAATTATTGGAGGTAAATTATCGAAATTATGTATCATTACAATTTAGAAATGATTGGAATTAATATTTTTTTAGTGCACGAATGGACAACAACATCTTTATTTTTTTAAATATTACACTTTTACGCTTAATTATTTGTTAAATCTATTAATAACATTGGAAAATATAATAGCTTAGAAATATTCAAACGAATATCCATAAGAGAGAGAGAAGTAGAAAAAGATCTAGAGGACTAGTGGGAGCCTCCAATTAATGAAAGGTTTAAAATTTTTGTGCATATAAATCCAACAGCCAACCGTACATGGGCCATGCATACATGACTTTCTTTTTACGTTCTTATCATCTTCCTTTCTCTTACCACATTTTTTTTTGTTGACTTACCACATTTATTTTCCTAGGGCTACATAATTTTAGCGAATTTGTTTTTTTGGTAACGTTTGGGGACCTGCCGTCGGTCCTTGGGGTCGGATATCGCAACGCTTCGCAGTCCAATGCCGGACGAATGACACGGTATCGCAGACAGTAAACCCACACGGCTCTACGTAATAGCCGACAAACCATGTAAAGAAGGTAAACCAGTCGAAGCTAACCGGTTGAAGGGAAAGCTCAAATATCCTGAGGTTTCGAACTCTCCACCTCTAGCTATTGAGTTATCCCTAATCACTGGGCCGAGACTTCCCTTTTAGCGAATTTGTTAGTTATACAAGTTCGATATATTTCCGTTAATGACACTTAAATTTGTATTTCTGTTATATATATATATATATATATATATATATATGAAATTCACATTTCACCAAAAACAAATTGTATTTTTTCGGCCGACGTGATCACTATGTTATTTAACAATTTTATTGTCGAATTAAATTGAATTAATAGATGGGTATTATTTTACGTGTCACGATAATGCCCGTATAAAAATTTACGAGTTTGTATATTAATCGTATGAATATTTTTGCGTTGTTGCAGAGAACGAAAATATATTCGATTCGTTTGTATGTATATATAAATAAATTTATCTATTTAAGAATTTAATCACATTCTAATACCATCTCACTCACATATATATTTTTTTATTAAAAAAATCTAGTGTTATTTCTTTGACTTTTCTCATTTGCTATTCCCTCACTCGAGACTATAAATAGAGGTGTCCGAAGAACATTTTCTTCATCTCTCACTTCTTCTTGCTACTTGTTCACAAAAGAAAAACAATGGCTTCCAAAGCTTTGATTCTGCTGGGTCTCTTTGTTGTTCTTCTCGTGGCCTCGGAGGTCGCAGCCAGAGATCTCGCTGAAACCTCGACCGAGAAAAACAGCGGTAAGATCCTACGTCGTCTTTTAAATAAATTCGACCGAGTCTAGTTTCTTTTAAGACACATGATTTAACAGTTTTGAGAATCCGTAACATTAATGCCGTGTAATTTTGGCAATTTCATGAGCAGAAGCCACGGAGGAGGCACAGCACCCTGACGGATACGGCGGCGGATACGGCGGCCGCGGTGGTTACGGAGGTCGCGGCGGCTATGGTGGTGGCCACCGTGGCGGAGGAGGAGGAGGTG